TTGAAAAACAATTTTGCCCTTAGAAAATCTTTTTAATACCTCATTTCTGACTAGTCACAAAGAAAAAACAAATAATTTATTCAATAAATTAGCGAAAGATTGTTTATTACTTGAAATAAAACAATGTTATTGGGCATTAAATACCTATAGTAAAAATCATGAAATCTTTTTAAATAAATTAAAAGGCATACAGTTGAATATATATAATGATGTTAATAAAGTAATTTCGAATTACAAAAATAATTATGTTAATTTTCATAGATTGAGATTAGAAGCGAAAAGTAAAAGACCATAGAAAGCCTGTATTAAAAAAACCATCACACTGATGTTAAATATAATAATACTGTATCCAATACAACTAAGAATTTGGATAATAGACTCATAGATAAACAGCATATAAACCGTAATAACATAATTAAATCCTATGAAGAATTGCACACCAAAGTTTGGGTGGTTAATACTACTGAAACAAATATTGCAACAAACATATTAAACGTATTATCACTAGGGGACAAATTCAATATGATACCTAATAAATACAACCTGGAAATAGTTAATATAATTGCTGATGTCGAAAATATAATTAGAACAATTAACATACCAGATAATCATAAAAATATAATAAGAAATAGAGTAAATAACCACATAAATGATTTAATAGACAAAAATAATAATAAACAGAATAACTCAAATCAACCCCTACACAATAAAATTAACAAAGATATAATTTTGTTTCAATTATATCTTTTCAATGTTTTTTATTCGGCTGATTTAAGTTTATATATAACTAAACTAAAATGTATAAAAAATTACCTAGTTTTTATGTATTCTGTTGGTATGTGAGACATCAAAATTCATTATAATCAAAAACTTAAGGACCGAATTGCGCTTTAAAGTCCGAGCAATCTAATGGCTTTTCAACTTTTCGTATATTAAAGATTATACCCGAGCTCAATTAAAATTTTGATGCTCTTTCAATTTAATTCAAGCTTATGTAGTCATAATATGCAAATAGGCGAAATGTCTTTAGACCGATCCGACTTTGAAACGCAGTTTGTTCGTTAATTTTTTTATGATTGTTATGGATGTTGAATCTCTCATGCCAACAGGATATACTGGGTTTTTCAGGGTTATGTGGTCAAACTGCAAAAATGAACTAAGGACCTCAAAAAAAAAAAAAAAAAAAATCCCCTGAAGGTAAGTCTGCAAAAGCTTTGTTTAGGAGATATTCGCACCTAAAGATTTTTGTTTTTATGAATTATTTACGTTATATGAAATAAATAAAATCTATTTATTTGTTCTAACTACTTTATTAATTAAATGTAAACATTAATATTCATATTAAATGTTATTCAAAGTGATTTCCTTGAGCATTAAGACAGGCTCGGCATCTTTTTTCAACAGGAGCAGTGGCAGAATGGCACTGCATATGTTTTATTGTTTCACAAAATTCAATTATCCTTCGTAAGGAATGAAGGTCATTGACCGGACTTGCATAGACTTTTTGTTTAATGTCACTCCAAACAAAAAATCCAGTGGTGTCAGGTTTGGAGATCATACAGGCCAAGCCACTAGTCCTTCATAGCCAATCCATTGATTGGGATATGGGATATTGGATATGATTGAGCAAGTCCGGTCAATGACCTTAATTCTTTACGAAGACGAGTAATTGAATCTCGTGAAACAATAATACATATCCAGTAACGTTCTGTCACTGCTGCTGTTGAAGAAAGATGCCGAGCCTGTCTTATTGCTCAAGGAAATTATTTACCTATATGAAATGGTGTTGAAGTGGTTCTTAAAGTCCTATTAAATGTAATTACAAGAACAAGAATTCTTTAAGAGATATTTTTATCTGTAAAATATTATTATATTTTAACATTTTGGGGGGCTTCAGCCCAAAAGCCCTATCCTGCCCCCGTTGATCGGCCTGTGCTACAAGGTAAATACGCCTTCGATACTATGAGCTTTAACAGCCGCTAAATCTCACATATTATCGTGTCTACGTGAGGTACTTAGGAAATTTGATGCTCTTTCAAATTGATTATACTGAATTTCTTTAGCAGATGCATAGATGATGAGTTTTGGTGAAAAACCGACAAAAAGAATTTTTTCTTGTGAATAAAAATAAGCTCACAGCCAATATTCTTCAACTCCTTACCCATTGGCCCTACATCAAAAAGCTGTTTTTTTAAAATTGATAGTAAATTTTATCTTCTTTAACGTTGTATATAATAATAATTTCGATAGAATGCATAGTTTCGGAGTTATGTCCAAAAAATTAAAAAAAGTTCAGAAATTTCGCTGTTTTTTACACATATCTTGATACGCAATGGAAAATTTCGTACTAGAACATCAAATTCAGATTCATCATCTCAAAAAAATATAAAAAACCGAAGAGAAACTGACTTCTTGAATTTTTTTCTTCTTCCAACTACCGTCTGATTGGCCTACTTTGATGACTTTGACATCATAATTTTTCAAAACGCAACCAATTACATCGTCGGTCAAGGTGAATTCTCTTTTAAGGACATATTCTTGAAATCATATCAAAATGTCAGCCATCAGATCTTCTGTTAAATGAACTAAAAATTTTGCCTCTTTAATGTAAACCCCCCCCCCTTATCCCCATAAAATATGTTTAAAGGGCGAAAATATCGGTCCCCGCTAATAATTTTGTGGAAAAGATTAGAATCAATAATAAATTAGCTAAACGAATGAATAAATAAATGTCTGTGGTATCTTTTTATCAAAGTATTAACATCCGCCTGATACTTCGTAAATAGCTTCATCTCATCATAACCTACTAATATTTTATTTACGATAAGTCTCAGAGTGGGCGTGTTTTCAAACTGGAGATCGTCAAATTTTGTATATTTAATTAAGTACTAAAAACTCGTAATTACCCATTTGTGTTCCACTTGGATCGTGAGATAATTTTATCATAAAATCGATAAAGAAGGTGGTCTACAAAATATTGGTCCGTTTTTCCTATATAACCTCGTTATTTTGACCATTTGGGAGTGTAAGTCCGAAAAGGCCCGAAAATGATAACAAGATCATTCTTGGTGATCCTAATGCCCAAATTGGTCAGGAAACCATTTATCGTCTAACAACAGGAGAATTCAGTCTTCATGAAAGCACTAATGAGAATGATCAAAGGCTCATAGACTTTGCTGCAGCACAAGGTCTAGTCATTGGCAGTACATTGTTTTCTGGCAAGAACATCCACAAAGCCACTTGGAGATCGCCAAATGAGTCACGAACCAAATAGACCACATTTTAATTAGTCCACGCCACAGATCTAACCTTATTGAAGTTAAAAGTCTACAGGGGCGCAAACGTCGACTCGGATCATTTTTTGAGCATCGCCAGGATCCGCCCTCGAATATCAACGAAAAGATATGTAGCAGCTGGTCCGGCCCACAGAAATATGATTTATCCAAACTAAAAGACATGGAACAGTGCATAACATACCGGCAGCGATTGGAAGTTAAACTCGCGGAGGATTTGAGAGAGATAGCCGAGACAGTGGATGATCAGTGGGCAGGAATAGCCGAAGCTCTCAAAGATACAGCGAAGGAGACGCTCGGACCTCAACCAAAGAAGGCCAGGACACCGCGGTTCGACGATGACTGCCTAGAATGCACAACTCGGAAGAATGAAGCATATAAGAAGATGACCCAACGTTACACGCGGCGATATGTAATAAGTTATACAAACTAAAAAAGAATGTACATAATCAATTTGTTAGAAACATAATATTTACTCTTACTGACCGTGTTTCGAGGACTGAAGGTATTCAAGTACTGACACTTTAGGGAACCCCTCTCTCTCTCTGACTTTGTTTACCTACATTTTCTATCTTAAAAGCATATCTGGAAAATCCTACACTGACTCTACTTGCCTGCCAGAGTGCCAGTACTTTAATACCTTCACTGCTTGAAACACGGTTAGTAAGAGTAAATATTACACATTTCTTATAAATTGATTATGTACATTATTTTTTAGTTTGTATAACTTATTACATATTTCATTATTAACCATTATCTGTCTTATAATATTATATCTCTGATTGTATTAATCAATTTTTTAGCTCTGATGATGAACGACTTGTTTGGATTGAAACATCGGCACTAATAAAAACTTCAAAAATGACTGCGTTCTGACTATTTATCATCTATAAATCAATTACATATCGATCTATTTAAATATTTTCAGTTTATTCTATATCAGGGTCTATTAATTGGATTTCAAGGGACTAGTTTTTAAAAATACTATCGCTTCTAACGTAAATCAATTACGTATCGATATATTTAAACTTTTCAGTTTTATTCGATATCGAGATCAATTTAATTATTAGGTTTACAGGGGCATACTTTTCAAAAATATATTTGATTTTAATGTAAATCAAACACATATCAATTCATTTAAGTATTTCTGATTTATTGGATATAGAGGTCTATTATCAGGTTTTCGGAGAAGTACTTTTAGAAAAATACTATCAGTTTTAATGTAAATCAATAATGTATTGAGCTATTTAAATATTTCCAATTTATTTGATATCAGGGTCTATTAATTGGTTTTTAGGGGATTATTTTTTTTAAATACTATCGATTTTAATGTAAATCATTTATGTATTTAAACTTTTCGGATTTATTCGATATCGAGGTCAATTATTAGGTTCACAGAGGAGGGAGGGTGTATTTTTGAAAAATATGTTTGATTTTAATGAAAATCAAATACCTATCAATTTATTCAAGTATTTCTGAATTATTGAATCTTAATAAAAAATACTATCGATTTTAATGTAAATCAATAACGTTTTGATCTATATGTAAAAATCAGTAGGCCAAGATGACAAGAATAAAATAACTTGTGTCTCGTATCAAAATATTTTTCATTCTAACTGCCTAAAAATCGAATTTTCGGACACAGAAGACCTTAAAGAGATTAGTAAAAAATGAAAATATACCGATTACGAATTGTTATTGCGTACAATGACAGCCTCTGAGTTCACTGCTGTGATTGACCTACTGAGAGCACTGACTGAAGAAGTTAAACAAATGAAGTCTAAACTTCAGGGTATAGACGAGCTGAAGGAAATAAATGGAACCCTCCAGAAGCAGTCAGAACTGTCTTTTGAAAACATAGACCAATTATTAAAAATGAAAACACTTCTAGAAGAGCAGAAAACGCACGTAGAAAAACTAATCCTAGAAAACAATACCTTTAAAAACTAAAATATCTGATCTGGAAAATCGTTTGAATCACAGAGAACAGCTTCAGCTAAAAAATATTATTGAATTTAGAAGAATTCCGGTGAAGCTGGAGGAAACAGTGACTGTCACAATTCTTAGCCTCTAGAGGCGGACTGGTCGTCAAGTTGTGTCCGGACAATCTTGATCACCCCATGAGACTCAAACCCAAGCAGAAAGGGGCCCCAGTCCTTATTATTACAAGATTTTTTAGACAAACGTTGAAAGATAAGATGATTCGGCAGCAAAGAACAATGAGGGATTTCTCGACTTGCACGCAAGAACGACTCGCACCGCTATATGTTATCGAAGCGATAACGCCTGCCAATAAACACCTCTACTCCGTTAGCCTGGCAGAAGAAGATGACTGCGAAAATAAAGTATATCTGGTTTAGTGGAGGGAAAATTTGGTGCAGAAAGTCAGATGGATACCCATCGGTTATAGGAAAATCAAGATACCTGGACTTTTTCATCTGAACAATGTCCACAAGTTTGTAGTCAAGTTATTTTTTCTCACCAGAAATATTTTTTTTATTTTTAACCTTTATTTTGGCATACATGATTTAGAATTATATTTGACCATTTGCCAATCTCTATTAATTTATTTAAAACAAAAGGATCATATCCCAATTTAAACCTTCTCTCCTATGAATCCCTTCAACCTGACCTTGATTCTTTCAAGATCATTTATTCTTATAATTCCATTGATCCTATGGTATCCACCCTTACCTCAAATCTAAAATTCTTGTGAGACATCCATGCTCCTTTGAAAACTAGAACCTTACGTCGTCCCACTGCACCTTGGCTGACCCTTGAAATAACTAAATCCCCAGTGCTACAGGCCAGCATGACCCTTGATTTCATTGTTACTTCTGATTTTCCACTTACCATTAACACTAGTAGCACCGTAAATCCTTATTATTATTTTCCTTTCTAGTACTTTAAGTTTACGGCAATCCTCTTGCAATGAACACCATGTATCCGTTCCATAGGTGACTACTAGTCTTATAAGCATTTTATTGTTTTTGACAACAATGAAGACTTGAGAAGTTTTAGGCATGTATAGTAGGCTCTATTACCAGCCATTATTCTCTTGTTGATTTCTGTGCTGATTACATTTTCATTATTTAGGACAGAACCATGAGACACAAATGTGGGTACATTTTCAAACTTAAAATTCTTTATTCTGATTTCACTGTAGGATCTGCTACTTACTGCCGAGAACAGTTTTAGGTATTTAGTTTTATCTTCATTGACCACAAGCCCTACTTTGTTGCCATTTTCGTATATTATCTTAAATGCCTTTTCACTTAATTTATGTGCCATCCCATTTTTCATTAGCATTCTTAACAGTACTTATCCTCTCTCCTGATGATATCAAATGCCTGCTTGTAGTCAATAAATAATAAGTGCAGATCAACATCATATTCATAGCATTTTTCCATGATTTGTCTTATAACAAAAATTTGATCTGAGGTACCTCGGCCAGCGCTAAAACCATATTGGTAATCATCTAAAATTTCTCTTTTAAAATAACTTTTTGCAATGTTTATTACAAAAAGTTATTAACATGGATGCAGGGATGGGCATATTTATATTCAAAAATATAAATACGAATACCGTTTATATTTATGGTACAAATGAATATAAATATGAATATATTCATTTTCATAAAAAGTAATGTGAATAAAGAAGGTACGTATTCACGGCTGTAAATATAAATACGGCCGTATTCATGATTGTAAAAGTGAATACGGCTGTATTAACACCTGTAAAAGTGAATACGGCAGTATTCACGTATCTAAAAAAAAGAGTATAGTTATAATTGTGTTTTTGTGCTTGTTTAACTAATATTTTCTTTACTTTCTCTTTTTTATTAGTGTTTTATTTTGGCCAGATGTAGTATTTTAATTATGTTCTATTTTGTTATTCTAAAGGGACTTTGTCCCCGAATAAAGTTATTTTCTATTTCTATTTTTAAATTTAAGCGTATTCATATTAATAAATGTGAATACTGCCATATTCACTTTAACTGTAACTACTTCTTCTTTCTTTCTCTACCTCCTTTGTGCCTTTCAGCGTGGAGATGCCTCGATCCATGCATCCCAAGCATTTCGGTCCCGAACTAGAGCCCTCATATCCCCTATCCTCATGCCTCTTTTCTGCCCGATCTAGAAGATGTACTCCATCCACGACAATCTGTGTCCTCCTCTTGGGCGCTTTCCTACAGGTCTCGCCTCCTTGAATTTTCGTGGGTCCCGGTCTTCATTCATTCGGCATACATGCCCGAACCATCTCAGCTGCCTCTTTTCTATAGAATTCTTTAGTGAGGCAGTGCCTACGTCGTCTCTTGTTTTTTCATTCCTGATCCGGTCTCTCCTGGTTCTGCCGGCTACCCTTCGAAGATATTTCATTTCACTAGCAGTAACTCTGCTAAGGTGTTTGGGTAATGGGACCCAACTTTCACTCCCATATATAAGGGTTGGTAGATATACCGCTTAAAAAATATGCATTTTTACGTTCCTCTCTACCTCTCTTTTCCCAATGACTGTCTTGCATAAGCTGTAATACACATCATTGGCCTTTTTAATTATGTTGGAAATTTCATGGTCAACCCATCCGTTCTTGTTTATTACTGCACCTAGATATGTGAAGTCCTCCACCATTTCGAGTACCTCTCCTTTGCAATAAATTTCAACAACCTCCTGACCCGTCCAATCTGCATTACTTTTCTCTTTCCGACATTAATTGCCATACCCTTTCTTGCTAATTCAGCCTCCCATTCGATCACCGCTTGCTGCAGATTTTCGTCGTTGGACCGCTTGGACTTTTAAAACGCCTTTTGGCCCTTAATTTTGTGATGATTGTTATGCATATCAACAGAATATATAAAAGCTCTGTAATATGTTTATACATCCTAGTTCTGTTATAAAATAGTTAAATTAGCCGAAAATAAAGCATTGAAAAGATAAAAAGCACTGAGTTTGTGAACGACAAATACTACAGGAGAAATATGACTTCGATTCTCTGAGCTTTAACAGCCGTTTAATCTTTTTACCTATTAACGTGTCTGTATGAGGTACATATGAAACTTAATGCTCTTTCAAATTGATTATGTTGAATTTCCTCGATAGATGCATAAATTATGAGTTTTGGGGAAAAACCGACAAAAATAGATATTTCTTGTGAAAAATGTTAACAGTCAATATTCTGTTACTGCTCACCCGTTAGCCCTACATCAAAAAGCTATGCATAAAATTGATAGTATATTTAATCTTCTTTAACGTTTTATATAATAATAAATTCGATAAAATGCACAATTTTGGAGTCATGCCCAAAAAACTTTACAAAATTCGGAAATTTTGATGTTTTTACATTTATCTCGATACGCAATGGAACATTTCATTCGGGAACGACAAATTCAGATCAGCATCCCAAAAAAAAAAACCCCGCAGAGAAACCGACTATTTGAATGTTTTGTCAACCAACTACTATCGGACTGCCCTAATGTGATGACTTTGACGTCGTCGGCCAAGGTGTATTCTTATAGGAACATATTCTTTACGTCATATCAAAATTTCTGCTGTCAGTTTTTCCGTTAAATGGACCGTCAAATTTCGCCTCGTTAATTTAAATTTTCGTATAGAAACCAAGTTTTCAACTGACTGAACGAAGTTGTGTGTTCAGATGAAGTTTATCTAGAATTTAAAATGGTTACTAGCTATAAGTCCTTCCTTTAAATAAAATAGTCGGTAGCTCCTTGTCTAATAGCGGAATATTGAGAAGAACCGATTTTGTCGTGAGTAGATAGGTTTTCGTTCTTTTTTGGATATAACTGATTCAGCATGTCCTCGATTAGATTCGTATTTTTTTCAAATTGTAAGATTTATGTTGAATACTTGAGCCAAGATATTATTAAACTCTTTAGTCTCCAGTCGGCAACATATATAGACTTTTTCTTATATCTAGAACTTTTGCTCTTCGTTATTCTTATTAAACTACCAAACAGAAATATGAATTTAACACCTTTTTTTTTTATTAACGAAATTTACAACTATAATTAATAATAATAATAATAATAATGCTTTATTTATTCTGGGACGAGTCCCTTTAGAATAATACAGGAAGACAGAAATGAGGGCTAAGGAGCCTCAGAGATACATAAATAAAAATATAGAGTAATTGAACAGTCTTGGTTAAAAAAAATTATATATATATATATATATATATATATATATATATATATATATATATATATATATATATATATATATATATATACATATACATATAAGTTGCTTTCCAATTTTGATCAGTTGATAATAAAATAAATTTAAAAAGATAGATAAACAAAAATTGGAGTACAAATAATGAAGAACGAACTAATAATTTATGTACATATTTTCAGTAGTATCTATTTACGATTTTATGGGGACTGGATGGATAAGAAATGATTGAACAGGTGGGATTTAAAGGTAGGAAGGTTATTAGATTGACGGATATGGGAAGGGATGGAGTTCCATAGAGATGAGGATCGGATAATGAACGATTTGTCGAAAGCCGCGGTTCGGTGGGCCCTTATGTATAAATCAGAAGAGCGGGAACGAACAGAGGATTTGAATTGAAGGAGCTCGGAGATGTATGAGGGACAGTGGGATTGGATGACTTGAAAGAGGAAGGATGCCAGGAAATACTTACGACGGTAGGAAGGATAAAGCCACTTTAACTCCGCGTAAAAATGGGAAACAGAGGCGTCCCTTGGGATCCCGAAGATGAATCGTACAAAGCAATTTATCAAACGTTTTAGTTTCGCCTCGAGATTCCCAGAGAGACCCCCATATACCGTACAGCAATAGTCAAAGTGGAGAAAAATTAAGGAAGTGACTAGGAGCCTACGGGTTTCAAAAGGAAATAGGTGACGGGAGTAATTAAGACGTTTTAGGATGGAAATGGTACGGCGGGAAATATTGGATATATGATTTTTC